TCAAGATTAAATATAACGCTATCATTTTAAAAATAATAAATCTAAAATGATACTCTTGCAAAATTTCGCAATAATCATATTAGATTTACATAAGCATCTTACAATAAGATATTTGTAGAATTTCATAAAATTATACAGCATGAATTTTACGATATTTCAATAGACAGTAATATCTTGTATGATCTTCATAAGATTTCTTTTTACCCGATAATTCCAGCAGTTCAATTCATGCAATAATTAAGATACTTATGTTAAAGAATTTTCTATTGCTCATATTGAATCAAAATAACGTTCCGTGATGATATAGTTTCTAACATTCGTAACGTGATAATTTTCATATCAATGATTTTTAATTAGCAATTATTTCTATTTGATTTACGTTCTTCTTCATTCTATTTTATTATGAAAGAAAAAGTAGCGTACATGTTGCGTTCATTCATGCATTACATTTATATTCAATAATGATAGACAGAAAGGAAGTAAGATCAGAAATTGTCAAAATTACGATTGTTATTCAAAAAGAAAAGAAACACATGTAACGTACAGGTACTATGTAAAGAAAAAAAAATGACTCTACTCATCATTATTTTATTCTTCATTAAAAGAATATTGTCCCTTATTTGACAACTGTAACCATTGAATATCTCAAACAATAATTATTTTGAATTTTTTTTACTCAAAAACTAAAAAATTTTCATTATAAATATGTCTTTACGACGATCAATCCTACGACTAACATTCTACATTTATCGAACGATTTTCTCAAGTAGCCGAACTTTTCGTTATTCGATGATTACTATGATTGCAATGATCATCTATTTCATCATTGTTGTACCTACTCTAGTAAAAAAAACATTATCAAATTCAACATTGACTTTTGATAATCATGATTTAAAACATCAACTATTGATAATGAAGGAAAAAAATAAAAACGATGAATTTATTATTGAACAACCATCTATGAATAGTAAAATAATACTGTAAGTTTAGTACTTGATGTAATTAAAAAAATAAGTTAGATAAGAAATAAAGAAATTTCTTTTTTGCTATTGTTTTAGAAGAGAATCATATAAAAAAATATCATCTGAGGCACGTTTACGTTATTCATTTATTGATATTGATCATCTTAATGTTGACATTAATTATCTTGATGAAGAATATCGTCCATCCCGACAATTAAATATCGATCTTCCATATGCAAAAAGTCATCCATACTCACATATAGTTAATGTAAAAGGTGATTCAACCGTTATTATATATAATCGACTACCACAATGTTATGAATTTACTATGGGATTATTATTAAAAGATATATCTCGTCTTCATTCATACACTTATATATCAAGTCAAATATATGAACCATTTTCTTATAATAAATCTGCACTGATATCAATAGCACGATCATTAAATAAACATACATTTAAACAATTATTATATGAACGACAAATATATTTTTTTGATTTTTATGCATTACTATTTCCTAATCATCCTGTATGGATTACTTTAATTCGTGATCCCATATTTCAAGTAGCAGCAGAATATGAACGTTCACGTGAACTTTGTCGAACGAAAAATCGTTGCTTTGTACAAGTAGATACAATAAAAGAAACACTTGATGAATGTGTTATAAAACGATCACCAAAAGAATGTATTTCATCTCAATATGGTATTACACGAATGTTACCATTTTTTTGTGGATTAAAATATCCAGCTCTATGTCAAGAAGAAAGTGATCAGGCATTAGAACAAGCAAAAGAAAATATTAATTTTTTCTATACAGTTGTTGGTATTGCAGAAGAATTTTATAAATTTTTATACGTTCTTGGTATGTTCATTTATTTCAATTCAAATGCAATTGAAGTACACTGATAAAATCTTCTTTGTGGAACTCACATATACTTTCGAAGAAAATATACTGAGTGAAAGTTTAAATCGAGGTTTTTGATGACTCCCCATATGTCCTAACTACTTGAAGGCAGGCGATAGTGGCCAACAATTATTAAGTAGGTCTTTTTAACAACGAGAGAAGGCATATCAGTAAGAACAGTGTTTTTAGATTATTTTGAAACTTTCTAAAATCTTCCAAAACATTCTGAAAATCTAAGATTCGAACTAGTCTAAATATTGCGGGCTTTGGTATTTAATGCAACGAAAAATTCTTATTGTAGGTGTCAATCAGTAGAGATAGTGGTATTATTGACCTATCAAAGTAAGAGCAGGACAGACATTGAAAAATATGAACCAATTCAATTGTAAGCTTAGGACAAAACTCAACAGCATATACTAAAGTTTGTCTTGAGAAAGAATAATCCGTTCAGAAGCTTATTGGATGATTAAATCAATACGTAAAACAGGCTAATATCAGGGTTGAATCAACAAAACGAAGCATAAAACGATATTTGCTGATTTTTATGGCACGTATCGTACATATTATCATTAGGAAAAGAATTGAAGAAGTATCTGTCTATGTATATAATTGTTTTTCAATATAACGATGTTAAATGAGCCAAATAAATCGGTAGAATATGAATTCTAAATGTAAACATTTTCGATATAATAAAATTTAAGGGCATGCATATCAACTATAAAATTGTTATAATTTTCATTTACTCTCTAACAATTCATAGGGTCACACTGACAAGTTTTTTTTTTATTCTGAAATAGTTAATTAAAGTTTTTTTTTTCATTTAGAAAAACTTCTACCACAATATTTTCAATTTGCTCGCCTTCTATTTATGAATCAACGAGATTCAAAAGTATTGGTTGATGAAAGAGATTTGAATATTCAACTTCCAAATGAAAACACAATCAAACTTCTTATGCCACTTCTTAAATATGAATATGATTTATATAATTATATTAAAGAACGATTTTTAGATCAATATAATATACTAGTTGAGCTTGATAATTGAACTTTGTTTCAAGATAAAAAAAAAAAAGAAAAAAGTTTTTGTTTTTCTAATGTTTCAATCTGTTCTTGAATTATTAAGTAAATTTTTTGAAATTATATAAGACTTGTAAATTACAATAATCAACTATTAGATGAAGAACGGATAATAATAATGATCGAAAATAACTGAAGATCGGATGTCTATGAATCGACTCTTTCTAGTAACAATCAAAAGATTAATGTTACAAATAGATTAGATTCTTGTAATCTATCTGTTAATACACATTTATTTATCTATCTTTCAAATAATTACTTGTTTGAAAGCAACTGGAATCTTTTTGCTTATAAAAGTTCTTAAGTGCATATAGAGCTTCCTTTCAAGCACTGATCGTTGATACAAACATTTTGTTATGAAACTGATGCCGATGTTTTTTTGTCGAAGTCACGTAAATTTCTGTCCTTCAACGGAAAATAGCGAGTAGCAGTTCAAAGTCATCATTTTCCGGCTTCTCCTAATATATTAGCAATTAAAATCAAAGGTCAACAATTATACGGTAGTGTTCTCTAGTAAACGAAGATTCTAGCAAGTATACTTAAAAGTCTATGAGGCTGTTTCATTAGTAGTCAAAATTAACAAATAATCATTTCAATCATTAATTGACTCAAATCAAGCTATCAATAAATGTTAAGGACAGATAATGTTCAAACCAAACACATTGTTTCGATTCAATCTATCATCATTAGAATACAATTATTTATTTGACAAGCATCACCATTTACTGATTCTTCTTTTTGATTAGTCTAATAGATTGATAATAACTGCATGATATGACAATGAAATAGATACATAAATATTACACACCTTGCACTATTTCATTAACATATGTATAATATCAATGATTATTTGTTTAGTGTTTTTCATAATATAGTTTTGTACAAATGGATTATATGATTTTAATTAAAACTACACGATTTCAATTCAAATTATTATCGATTTCGAAGATTTCAATTGATTATAATTTTGATTTTGTTGCAGAAAAATCCGACTATAATCTACTGAAATCTTCCATAATCTGATATTTTTCCACTGTGTTTACCAGATCGACTTCTGAATAGAACTGTCCAAATATCTTCAACATAATGATTTTGTTTTATCAGTGAAAGTAGAATTAGAAAAAAATTTTAAAAGGATTTTTATCTTTAAATCATCTAATTTAGATGAGCAATATTCGAATAAATATTGAAAAAAGAACCTATATATTTCTTTACAGTACAATAATAGTTTTGTGTATCGTATGAACTATTAATATTAGATGATGAAAAGATCATTTCTATATACATTGTTTGTTCGATAAAACATCTATCAATAGTAAAATATTTTGAATAACTGTGATAAAGTTTCATATGAAATTCAAAGAAAATAGAAACATTTCTTCGAATATACACAAGAATCTCCATGAGATGAAGTTCAATGTTGATTTATTGTTGATAAACTGAAGTAATAGTCTATGAACATTTTACACTATAAGTTAAATTTCGTAATGTAAATGCAATTATGATCGAACAAAAATTGAAAAACTTTGATTTTTATTCATGAATCAATTGATACAGAATTTCATAATATCGATTAAGATAATCATTAACTTATAAAAGAAGGTAAATTACTGAAAAAATCTTTCTCTTTTATGCTATAAAATTCTATTTTTGTGTATTTATTTGTCATAGTCTTATGGTGGAATGAAGTTTATAACAGAGATTTCAATCAACCGAAGAAAGTCGAGTTATTAGTTATTGACCTTTTGACTAGGCATGATCCATAGTGTTCTTCTTATTAGATGATTCACCCATGGATGATTTGTTTAATTACACTAAATGATTAACACATGCATAAGCAAACATATTTCGAGTACAATAGTTGATATAGAAACAAATGTTCGCTATTATATTTGAAAACTCACAAAATCTTTAAATCTGTGTGTATTTGTTGATGGACGAGGAGAAGGGTGTTTTCTGAACTTTTGTTTTAATAATATATTTAAAAAAACATTCTAAGAGAAGCATGATCGAAACATATTTTCATTAATTTGTTGTAGTGTTTAGTTGTATTTTTTTATAAATCTGTTTTTGGTCGATTTTTGAGATATTCTGCAATCTTTGGTTGTTTTGCAACTTCTTGAACATTTTGTTTTAACCATGGATAACTATTTAAACAATTTTCATTTATTTCAAGAAAAGTTTCTCCAAGATCATAGAACAATAAATCTGCCCATGTTAAATGATTACCAACAAAAAATGGACCACCATTACCATAAAATTTACATAAAACTTCAAGATTTTGTAAATGTTTTGGTAATTCATCAGCAAAAAATTTCTTCATAAGTTCTTCTTTTTTTGTTTCATCGGATGGCCAACGTGCTGATACATATTTTGCTATAGCGTCACTAATCGTATCAACTACAGCATCGACTTTAGCTTGTTCAAAATTATCTTTACCAGCTAATTGAAATTGTTTAGCAAGAAAACGAGCAATTGATAATGATTGTGGTAATTTTGTTCCATTATATTCAAGAACAGGCATTTGACCTAAAGGCATTTCACTTTTATGTAATGGCCATTCACTACCTTCATAACGAATATCTTCATATTTTTGACCAGCAGCAGCAAATATTAAACGAGAAACTTCAGCACGACCACGTCCATTAAAATAGTATAGTTTGTAGGTCGACATCGATGTAGTCGGAATGTAGTTGATATTTGAAAAAGAAAAAGAATATGTTATAAATGAAGACGTGTTTTATATGAGACTAATGAAATCATCGCCCACATGCTACTAGGTTTTTTTTTCTCGGTGTTGTCGACGAGTACTGCGGAGGAACGAGAAAAAGAAAGAAAAGGTTGTTGATAATGCAAATTTGCCTTCAATAAATAAGAAACTCACTTAACAAATCCAACAAAAAGCACATTGGTTGCTTGAAGATAATATTAAATGCACACAGCTTCTCTCACGAAAAAAGAAAGGCGAAAATTTGATAAGTTGTTTGAATTTATCATTATACTCATTGGTTTTTTTTCTCTCAAATTAGTACGATCGCGTGATAATAATCAATTAATAACAATAAAATGAATAGAAATGTATTGATCTATAAATTTGTCTTTAGTAATCTTCATAGATTCATATTCAAGACAATTATAATTTATATCATCTGTAGACAAAGAACAGCTCTGATACTTCTCACTTCATGGGAAAAATTAATTTTGCATGACAGACTTTATTTTATCAATTAAAAATTAATCTTAATGAAAATAAACAAGAAATTTGAAGACTTTGTATTTTGCCCATTTATAAGACCCCGATGAAATTAGTTGAAATCTATATGGATTCGTCTCTATGCACTGTTCTTTCTAAGATATTATAGCTTTACTGTATTATTTTTAATCTCGGCAAGCCATTTGTCGAAAAATAAAATTCTAAAATTTCACTCTGAAATTTGAAAACACCAGGCTTTCTTACCTTTTCTTGTGATATCTTTTCAGGGTATTCTACGATCTACAAGACCAACCTATATGTAAGTTTTCAGGTTGAAATTTCGGAATTTATTTTTTTCACAAACAAGTTGCCAAAGATGAAAAATGCAGTAAAATTGTAATAAACTGGAAAGAATAGCATACGGTGATGAACTCTTATAGGCTTAATTATGGGCAAAATATCAGTTCAATCGGTGAGTTATACTTGGGAACTTTTCTTTAGTAGACAAAACGACTATTTTCTTCTCATCATATTTCGTGAACATTTAATACCTTGCTAAGAGAACAAGTGTTTTTAAAAAATCATCATAATAAGCAAACCTATTTGAAGACGAACCTAATCTCGAAACGAAGATGTATCAATCAAAGTATCACAAGTAATAATTGTATATTAGCTGCAATAAAATCTTTCTTAATTAGTAATCATTTAATGATAGATGATTAAAATAAATAATGTTATACATGTTCACTGCATTATATGATGCAAACATATTTCAATCAAAAAGTGTTCTCACTTTATCATGTGACAAAACGTTTAACAGCAAGAACCAACCAAAGAACAAAAATAATCGATAAAACTGAAAAAAATCTTTTGTATTAAAAATAAACAACACTATTGCACAGATTTGTTTTCATGCAAATAGTCACTTCATTTGATTTTTAACGTATTAGAATGCCATATTGATCTAACAAAACCTTCAAAAAAAAAATTATTATGATCTATTTATCGAATAAATTCTTAATATAATATTAATCTTCTTTCGAAAACTGTACATGCTTATAAAGGAAAGCCGATTAGATATACATTTGAATGATTCAATATTCAATTTAAATTTTTTTTAATAATAGAATTACATCAAAAAGATAAAGTTTTATATTAAATGAAAATTTTATTTTCTTAAATATCATGTTTTTCCATATGAAGCAAAATGAAGAGCAAGATGACGTACAATTATGAAACGAGTTCATTGAAACTTGATCTCAATAATATGTTATAATGAAGTTAAAAGAAAAATAAGAAAAAAAAAAAAGAAGAGCAGTTGATGAATGTCAATATCTTAATTTTGTTCTTCAAAATTGTGTTTGTGGTCGATTTTTGAGATATTCTGCGATTCTTGGTTGTTTTTCGACTTCGGCACGGTTGTGTTTTAACCATGGATGCTTATCCAAAGATGTCGCATCTAATTGAAGCATATTCTGGCCCATTTCATAAAAAAGTAAATCCGCCCATGTTAAATGATTACCAACAAAAAATGGACCACCATTACCATATAATTTACCTAATACTTCAAGATTTTGTAAATGTTTTGGTAATTCTTCAGCAATAAATTTTTTTATAAGTTCCTGCTTTTTGGTTTCATCTTGTTCCCAACGAACCGGTATATACTTTGTCATTAAATCACTAATGGTATCAGCTACAGCATCGACTTTAGCTTGTTCAAAATTATCTTTACCAGCTAATTGAAATTGTTTAGCAAGAAAACGAGCAATTGATAATGATTGTGGTAATTTTGTTCCATCAAATTCAAGAACAGGCATTTGACCTAAAGGCATTTCACTTTTATGTGATGGCCATTCATCACGTTCATAACGAATATCGTCATATTTTTGACCAGCAGCAGCAAAAATTAAACGAGCAACTTCAGCACGACCACGTCCATTAAAATAGTAAAGTTTATATGTCGACATGGATAATGATTATATGTAAGTTCGACAATAACAGAAGGAAGAAAATGAACAAGTGTGGTATGACGAAGGCTATTTATATGAGAGAAGAGAAAGTACGGCACGTACATACGTGATTTTATTTTCTTTTTTGCTTCGTCATCGTACGTAAATGCCTTGAGAAAACGAAAAAGAAAAGACTGATGACGACGCATATTTTTATTTAGGAAAAAGCAATCATGTATCACATATAACGATGATGTTTTTCATTATAAAAGTATATCAAATGAGTTTCAGATGATTCATTTGACAAATAAATAAACTTTAAAATTTTAAACAAAGATCAAATGAATCTGAAATAGGTACATACATTTTCAATTTATTTTAATCGATCTACATTTCGAAAATAAGAATAATCATACTTGTGTCAAATATTCGATTGGATTCATCAAATGACATCAAAATACGATGAAATTTTTGATGAATTGAAAACTGATTTGTTTTTAATATATTTCATAAGAACAAGAGAAATACGAGGCTTTTTTGTCGCCATTTATTGCATATTTGCGCATTCCAGTTGAATTGAGAATTATTTTAGAAGAAAATCTGCTCGTAAGAATAATGTATTCTAAATACTAGAAGAGTAACTTCACATGGTAAAATAATTACGAATACAATCAAGGATATTTATATGAGAGAAGAGAAATCATGGCATACACAAGAATAGTTTATTCTTTCTTACCTTGTTTTTCATGCACTAATGTTCAGAATAGAAGAGAATGAAAAAGACTGATGATATGATAGTTGAAAGAAGCTATCAAAATAGAGACATGCATGTTCAGTTCGTTGTAACTAGCATAAACTTGAATAGTAAGGATAATGGAATTTACTGACATTTAATGATAACCATCGTTACACCAAAAATTCTACTGAATTCATCAGGCTACATCCGAGTAGGACGAACTTTTTGATCAATTAAAAATTGATGTTTTTATTGTATTGCAGAAGAACAAGAAAAAAATGAGACTTCTTTTCTCGCCGTTCATTGTACTTGTACTTCATGTCTATTTGAAATTTTAAAGTCATGCTTAGTGATGTAAGCATAACTAGAAAATCATGGATCGAAGAGTAGTGTCCTACAATCTTTGGGAAAATCTAAACAGGTTGACGCATAGTCTAATCAAACCTTCGTTACAACTGCTAGCCATTCTTTGTCATCTTCAAATTTATATATCTTGGAAAAATATATACAAAGTTAACATGATGGCATGTCGAATAAAAACAAAATCTTTCAAATCCTTCAATTTCTATTCGCTTTTTCGTATTAATTTAGTTTTTTAAAGAAAAACTAAATGAATGTTGGATCAAAACTAAGATTCTTGGTCTTCATGAAATATTATACAGATTATTAATAGAACAAAGTATTCTAAGAATTTTTCGATTGATAATCGACATAGTATTCTACTCTTGGAATATTCTGCAATAGGAGATTTGTGTTCTGCATCCCTATGCTTTTGTTTTAACTTTATCTAAGAAAAATGTTGTCTAAATAATAGAAGAGTAACTCCGCCTTTGTGAAATGATTACTTTCGAAATTGATCATCAAATCAACGTATTGGCACGAGTTTCATAGCTTCATCCACAATAGTATCAACAACTATAATTGTTGAGTGAATAAAAAAAACACAAACAATAAATGGTGAACATTTATTTAGTACTATCGATTTCGAAAATTAGTACTTTAATTTCTATGGTTTCTTTTCTTTTATTGTTCTTCCTCCTCTCGTTTTCTTCTTTCCTTTTGTCTACATTAGTGCTTGATTGGCTACATAAATGTGTAAAGATGTTTCTCAGGCTGATTATCATACCCAAATAGTTAGCAAATGTTTTCCAAAGAATACAAGAAGCAATGTTTGACACTTAACCTTGGTACAAACAAACTAACAAAATAATAACTACAATCTCTTAGGCGTTATTCTACATCATATGATACAAAATCAGACAACAAGATGTACTATGATAATCAAAAAAATTCAGTTAAATTTCATCTAAATATTATATTTAAAAATATGTAAATAAAAAAGCTATTGTTTCAATATTTGTAAGTTTTATTCTTTAAGATTGTATTTGCGGTCGATTTTTCAGATATTCTGCGACTGTTGGTTGTTTTTCGACTTCAGTACGAATCTGTTTTAACAATGGATAATTATCCAAACAATTTGCATCTAATTGAAGCATATTATGACCCATTTCATGAAAAAATAAATCTACCCATGTTAAATGATTACCAACAAAAAATGAACCACCATTACCATATAATTTAGCTAATACTTCAAGATTTTGTAAGTGTTTTGGTAATTCTTCCATAGTGAATTTTTTCGTAACTTCTTGTTTTTTAGTTTCATCTCGTTCAAAGTGAACCGGTATAAACTTAAGTAGTAAATCATTAATTGTATCAGCTACAGCATCGACTTTAGCTTGTTCAAAATTATCTCTACCAGCTAATTGAAATTGTTTAGCAAGAAAACGAGCAATTGATAATGATTGTGGTAATTTTGTTCCATTATATTCAAGAACAGGCATTTGACCTAAAGGCATTTCATTCTTGTGTGATGACCATTCATCACGTTCATAACGAATATCTTCATATTTTTGATTAGCAGCAGCAAAAATTAAACGAGCAACTTCAGCACGACCACGTCCATTAAAATAATAAAGTTTATACGTTACCATAGATAATGATTGTATAAAGATTCGACTATGAAGAGGAGAAAAACGCTAATAATTTTGGTTTGACGACGGCTATATTTATAGGACGGGAAAGAAACCATGGCATATGCATAAGTAGCTAAGTTTTTTGCTTTGCCATCATATAAATATGCTTGGTGCAGATAAGAAAGAAAAGACTGATGATAATGCATATTTATGTTTGGAATAAAACAACATATATGTATTTCTATCCAAAAGAAGTATTATTTTTTGTTAATTGATAAAACAAACTTCAGGTGATTCATTTGACAAATTTAGTAAACTTATAACTTAAAAGAAAGATCGAATGAATCAAAATAGGGGGCATGTTTTATGGATTGATTTTCATTCATGTGAGTTTTAATAAAAAGAATAGTAGATTATGCCAATATAAATGATGATCATTGTATCAAATAGTTGTTTGAATTCATGAGAATTCATTAAAATACGATGTACTTTTTAATGAAATTCTCGTAGTACTTGAAGTTTTGAGGTCATACTTAGTGACATAATTAGCAAATCATGGTTAGAAGGGCAGTGTCCAACAAACTTGGACGAATTTCATTAATATAGTGTCAATGATAGTAATAATTACCTTTTTTCTTCCTTCTTATGGTAGAGTGAAGATGATCAATGGAGGGGTTATGCCGAGTCTACCACACTCCTGCTGACGCGACTAGCCATACTTTGTCTTCATGATATATAGGTATCATAGAAAAAGATGTGAATGACACATCATGATGTATCCAATGAAAATACACTTTAAAATCTTGCAATGGTGCTTGTTCACTTTAAACATATTCCATACACTAATTGGCGTATTTAACGCTCACACATCAAAGAGTGCGGATGAGAGCATATGTCGAAAGTGAACAAGTACCTTTATTACACTCTTTTTTCGAAGTCTATCGTATTGTAAACATATTGGTGTAAATTTCATTATTCTATCCACAACATTGGCCACAACTAGACTTGTTTAGTAAAAAAACACACAAACAATAGATGATCATTGTTGGTTCTTTCACTATCAAATTCGAAAACTAGTACTTTAATTTTATGGGATATCTTCTCTTTCTTCTTATCTATTTCTCCTAGTTTTTTTCTTGTTCTTTTTTTTTTTAATCTCCCTTGATGTTTAGTGGGTGCTATAAAAACATAAAGATACTTGTCGTGGTGTTTATCGTATCTAAATAGTTAGTAAATATCTTGTGCAAAAGAAAAGAAATTCAGTTAAATTTTATTTGAATAATTTATTTAAAATATCTTAGACGAATAACAATAAAAAGTTAATGTCTTAATATTAATAAAATTTGCTCTTTAAAATGGTGTTTCTGGTCGATTTTTGAGATATTCTGCAATTCTTGGTTGTTTTTCGACTTCAGCACGAATTTGTTTTAACAATGGATGATTATCCAAAGATTTTGCATCTAATTGAAGTATATTATGACCCACGTCATAAAAAAATAAATCTACCCATGTTAAATGATTAGCAACAAAGAATGAACCACCATTACCATATAATTTACCTAATACTTCAAGGTTTTGTAAGTGTTTTGGTAATTCTTCCGTAGTGAATTTTTTCGTAAGTTCTTGTTTTTTAGTTTCATCTTGTTCAAAACGAACCGCTACATACTTTGATAATAAGTCAGCAATTGTATCAGCCACAGCATCGACTTTAGCTTGTTCAAAATTATCTCTACCAGCTAATTGAAATTGTTTAGCAAGAAAACGAGCAATTGATAATGATTGTGGTAATTTTGTTCCATTATATTCAAGAACAGGTATTTGACCTAAAGGCATTTCACTTTTATGTGTTGCCCATTCATCACGTTCATAACGAATATCTTCATATTTTTGACCAGCAGCAGCAAATATTAAACGAGCAACTTCACCACGACCACGTCCATTAAAATAATAAAGTTTATATGTCGACATTGTTAATGGTTATTTGTTACTTCGCCTATGAAAGAAAGAAGAAAGTGAGCAAGTGTGGTATGATGAAGGCTATTTATATGAGAGAAGAGAAAGTACGGCACATACATACGTGGTTAATTTTCTTTTTTTTTTGCTTTGTCATCGTATGCAAATGCCTAGAGGAAAGGAGAAAGAAAAGACTGATGATAAGGCATATTTATATCTCGGGCAAAAAAACACGTCTACACTCGTGTCCATAGAAGGCTTTTTTTGTTTGTTATTTGATAAAAACGAGTATTAAACGATTCATTTGACAAATAGATAAACTTTCAATTTTTAACAAAGGTCGAATTGATCAGAATATTAGCATGCATTATGAATTGTTTCTAGTTAATATAAATTTCAATAGTCAGTACAATTGATTAATCAACATCAAAAGTAATAATCTTCATTGTATTAATTAACTTGCTTGCTTGAGTCATGATAACTGATTAGAAACAGATGAATGTTTTAATCAATTGAGTACTGAGATTTTTTTTTGTTCAATAAAGAAAAGAACAATATATACGTTCTGCTCTTTCATGACAATTTCTTGTACTACAAATATATTTCAGTCTATCTCAATTTTTAGCACGAGTTTTTCTTTTCGTAAAATATAGACACCTTCGAAAAAAAGCCAAAATTGACATGATGAAGTGTAGAATCAAAGTCAAAACTTTGAAATCTCTAACTTCTTTTTTTTGTCTGGTAATATCTACATGTAAAAGCAAAACTAAGAACCTTTTTTTCTATAATACATCTTTAAAAAACTTGTCAGAACAATGTGATTGATAAATGTTTCAATTATTATACAGTTTGTGATAGATTCTTGAGATATTTTGAATTTGTTAGCTGTTTTTTTTTTAATTTTAAATAAAACATTCAAGGTTTATAAATGTTTAGATGATTTATCAGAAAAAAAACGTTTTCGTATGTATTTGTCTTTTGTTAAGCTGCATCTTATTTCACATGAGTTGATATCTATATCTATATAAGAGAAAAGAAATCATGTGTACAGGTAACCTTTTCTGTTTTTTTTTTCTGATCCGTCATCATTGACAGAGGCTTTGAAGGAAAGCAAAAGAAAGACCTGGTTACATTGCATGTTTGCTGTCAGTAAAAATGTACTTGATAAACTCGAACAGTATAATATAATGTGTTTGTAAATAAAACAAAATTTTTATATGGTTTATCTTGCAATAGTTGATTGCTTGAATTTCACTCTCTGTCGAAAATGCAAAAGAGAAAACTGATGAATCAATTCAATCTATCAGCTACATACACACTGTCATTTTTCGATTAGTACAAATAGATTGATAATAACCAAATGATGACAATATAAAGGCTGTGTGTCGCGATTACGAAAAAAACCAAACAGCTGAGTTTTAATATGAAATACATACATAAATAAATCTTGTGATTAGTAGTTATTTTCTGAAAACTTCAAACAACATAATTTCTTCTCTTCATTAATCTTTATTTAACACTTCATATGTCAACAAAAAAGAATAAACTGATTATAATCATGAGAATAAAGTTCATAGACGTGAATATCAAACCTAAAGTCCAAGATTGCTAGAATATATAGATGTAAAACACCTAGAAGATAAAAAAGAGTTGTATCTTATTGGTGTTCTTTTTTGTTTATTAACATTGATAAGATAATTATTGAAACGCACTTGACATCTAATTTTTCCATAGGTTTAGTCATTTACGAAAGAAAGAATCTGTTGACTACAGTTCGTCAAGGTAGGCTCATATGGGTGCAAATTCAAAACTTTAAAACCAGATCGGTTCTACTAGTGACCAGTGTTTTTTTTTATCTAGTGTGGAACTGAGGAGATGACATTTCTCTAAAGATCAAGTTGAATCTCTCGAAGTTTTAAATCGCCCCTTCGACAGTGAAAATCTCGAAAAAATAACACTACTGATGACAAGAACATCCGAATATTTCAATAGAAATAATCAAGTCAACAGTCACACATATATCTTAGCTTCTATTCAATTTCATTCTTTGTTCATTCACATATACACCTGAAGAAAGATATATGCACTAAAAAGAATTCATAATTAAAAGATAAATTTGTTTAACTTCTATGTTTAAGAATAATTCATTATATCCGACAATTTCAGAACAATCTAATTATGTTATACTATTTAAACGAAAAATCGTTATTTATTAAATGAACAAAATTTTCATTTAAATAATTCGAAATTTCATTATTGATAAATTTAGTGTATTCATGAACGTTTGTTTTTCGTTGTAAAAAATTTAATGCATTTTAAAACTTTCTTAAAAAATATGCGAATATTAATCTAAAATGGTTTCTAATATATTTGATAGTCAACAAGACTCATAAGTATACAAAGAAAAAACATCAAATGAAATTTTGTTTTAATAATATATTTAAGAAAAAAATCTATGAATATTTTATTGTTGTTGTTTTTTTTTTCAAAATGTCGATTTTGGCCGATTCTTGAGATATTCTGCAATTTTTGGTTGCTTTTCAACTTCAGCACGATTCTTTTTTAACCATGAATAATTGTTTAAACAATTTCCATCGGCATAAAGCAAAGTTTCTGTTATATCATAGACATATAAATCTGCCCATGTTAAATGATTACCAACAAAGAATGGACCACCATTACCATATAATTTAGCTAATATTTCAAGATTTTTTAAACGTTTTGGTAATTGATCAGTAAAAAAATTTTCCATAAGTTCTTTCTTCTTCATTTCATCTTCTTGTCGACGAATTGGCATAAATATCATCATTATATCAGTCATTGTATCAACTACAGCATCAACTTTAGCTTGTTCAAAATTATCTTTACCAGCTAATTGAAATTGTTTAGCAAGAAAACGAGCAATTGATAATGATTGTGGTAATTTTATTCCATTATATTCAAGAACAGGTATTTGACCTAAAGGCATTTCATTTTTGTGTAATGACCATTGATTTCGATCATAACGAACATCTTGAAATTTTTGACCAGCAGCAGCAAATATTAAACGAGAAATTTCTGCACGAGCACGAATATTAAAATAGAAAAGTTTGTATATTGACATGAATGTTATTTAAAATAAATGTAGGACAAATTTTTCAAAGAAAAATATGAATGAAAGAATGTGGTACAATACGAATCGTCTATATATATAGATATGTAAGCACAGAAATGACTATATGCATATGACTAAGTATTTATTGCATGTGGCTTTACCTGGAAGATGAAGAGAAAAGAAAAAGAATGATAACAGTGAATACATTTATCTGAAACCGAAATCATCTCTCTCTAGAATTTTTCATTTCAGAGAAACATTTTTATACAGTATTTATAACGAAATACACATATTTTATGTTATACAAAATAAATCCTCTAATTTCATAAACAATCAAAAATAGAAAAAAAAAGACTGGTGACTTGATTCCATCTATTATTTTCGTTCATGGATTGTTCTTCAATTAGTACAGTAAATAGATACAAATCAAATGATGAGAACATTAATTAGAAGATACGCATCAACTAATGAATAGGTCGATATAACTCCTATCCTTATATTCATGAAAATAGTCATACGTATCACTTAGAAATTTTGAACATCTCCTCCTACTTTTTTTTTTTTTCTTCATATCATACTCCAAATCAAACAAATAAGAAAAATGAACCGTACAGACATTTGATACCTATTGTATTGATATATGATGTCGATGCTTCTTTGTTAATTACTTTTTTTTCTTCTCCTATATACATGTCTATGTACAAGTATATGTGCACCACAATAATTAGAACTCGTTATGAAGTATTGGAAATTATTTTAGTAAAGAAATAATATGCTTACATAAGAATTCATGTAATTCACTTATTGAAAAGTGGTATAATTGAACACTCAATTCTCACCTATTGACATTGATGAGAAAAAGCTCTTGTCAACAATCGTCGTCTTATTCATTCATTTATTCATTCACATTCTTATTTGTAAAGACATATTGAGAAAACGAATATATGAGTGTAGTTATTGTTGATCAAATCACATGCATATGTCTATTTATATATGGTCCGATTTCGCGCTTACTATTTCATATTTGGTATATTATTAAACCATATTCGTATTCATTCAACCATTTATTACTCATTAAATGAAAGTAAAAAGATTTATATATGAATCGGTATGTATTTATGTTCAATGAATAAAATAAAATTGGCTCATTGACATGGGTGATCATAACAGGATTGAACAGCTGCAATTTGAAGATAGACAATCGAATATGAAAAAAAATAAGAACTCTGCAAAAACTGAAAGTCGATTCAAGTTTAAATTTGGTATGTTCAATTAATAAAATTTTCTCACAATATTAATTTTTGTTTTTCTTAATAGAATTTTTAAAGAAATTACCTCATTCAGTATTGTCTCATACTGCAATTGAAAAAGCACGAGCATTTTTTCGCTGGTCAGAACATAAACATCATGATAGTAGTAATACTAATGACCAATCATCATCATCTAATCAACCGCATACTACCGTTAATAATAATCTTTCTTCTTGTATTAATTCCACTGTTATTAATGAAAACACTCGAAAAAATGATGCATCATTAAATCCAATAACTCCTAAAACTCATTTTTCAACATCAAACATGATTAGAGTTGATAAAGTCAATCCTAAAGATATGATTAGTCATGATATTATTTATAATAATCGAAGTGATTATAAATTATCATCAAATTATTTTCCAAATAATAAATATAAACACTATATAAAACCATCATTATTAATACCTAAACAATATTATAATGATATATTAAATAAACGAAATCAATATTATTTCACATCTATCAATAAATATGGTAAGAAAAAACAAAAAACAGAAATTTATTTCAGTCTTGTAGAGAAAAACAACTAAATATTCGCGTCATAATTAAGGAGGAATGAGTGTACGCTCAACAGTTCCATACTGACGTTGCAATTAATCTATAGTTATTCAACAATTAAAAGAGTAGACTTCTGACGACTTTGAGTGCAATACTATATACGACAAAAATTATTTTGCAAACGATCGTTTTCGCAAAACTTTCAAGAAAATACATGGAAATGATGTTGTATTTCAAGAAAATTTTGATAGAGACATATACTTCAGATCAAGGAACTTGAAATAATGATATTCTCATATGTCAATGTTGAAGCAACAGCGTTACCTATTTGTGCGGGTTCAGTTATATAGAATTCTGTTGATATTTACTAAGTTTACTAGAAATAGAATATCATTTTTATGCGTTTGTTAATATTTTGCAAAAAACGATGGTTCTTAAAATGATTTTTTTTAAAAATTATATTCTATCAGACAGAAAGACGTCAAGAGTTTTAGTTTTTCGATTGATAAAAATTACAAGTTAATAGCTATTGTCGTTGTTGAGTTATTGAGTTTACACCTACCTTTCTTTAAGTGTAGCGTGCACATTAGTCATCATTATTCTTTTTCTTTCTCTTAATTCTAGACTTACGTCCAGGGTCATCTCCATCAACATTAAGTCAAAATTCGACATGTTCGAATCGCCTTTATTCACCCTATAATTATTTGACTCCTTGTAATGAAACTTTATCATATGATCAATTGCCTATTTCGTTGTATAATTATCGACCCCATGCTTATCGTGAAATAAAACCTTCATTAAATGAACCATATTTTCGATCTATATCCTCTATAATACAACCACTACCATCATCATCATCAATGTTAACATGGAATCAATGTGTTCGTCGTCTTAATACAGAATATAAATTAACAGTAATTGCACTTCAACAAGCAAAAGAATGTTTAGAACAAGCTTATTTAAATCCAAAACGATCGATTTCAAAATATGCTAATTTAGTAACACGTGATATTAAGAATTTATCAAATAATGAAAGAAAAAAACCAACTAATGTTACATTCTGTCTGCCATCATCATCATCATCATCATCTTCGTCAATAAATGAAAAATTTCCTCCATCTTTAAAACCAATAAGACGAATTGAACAAAATAAAAATTTTTCAACTATCATTCCTTCGAAATCTAAATTTATCAAACCTGTTGAATTAAATACATTTTCTTTATCATCAAAATTAGAACCTGTATTAGCTATTTTTGAAAATAATGAAAAATTAGAATCTATTGATACTATTATTAAAAAGTTGAATGATCTTAATGGTTCTTTATCAATGACTAAAATAGAATCTCCAACTATTATTCATAAAAATAATTCATTATCATCAAAAGTCGATGTTAGTACAACTAATTCTGATGTTAATGTTAAACCATCAATATTTACTTGTGATGTAAAAGAAATTTCAGATCAATCCCTACAATCATCATCAACAGATTCATTTATAATACATGAAAAATATCAATTAGAAAATTCTCTACAAGAAGAAGAAACAACATATACAATAGAAACATTTTATCAAAGTACAGATCATAATGAAAATAATTCATCATTAAATAATCAACATGTTGTTATCATTGAAGAAAATACAACTGAAGAACAATTTAATTTAGCACGTAAAAAACAATATCAAGAAATACCAACAAATTGTACTTCTACTCAACATACAATAACAATAAATGAATCAAAACTTCCATCATATTTTAATTCACATTTAATTTCATCACAAAATGAAAAGTAAATATTTTTCTATATAATTATTTTCATATGTAATTTTTTCTTATTCTTAGTTTACCTTCGATTGAAACATCTTCGAATTGTTTAATTAAGAATACATCATCTAGTAGTACAACATCATCAAGTAGTACTACTTCATCTACTCTTTTCGATAGTCATAACAAAATTAATACACCTTCTATACACTTAACAAATAATAACAAATCAATTTTACAAATACAAAAACGTCCAACAACAATAAAAACGAATATTCCTTATTTAAAACAACCTTCAAATATTATCGTTTCCTCAACTAAATTAAAACCATTATCTTCAAAGATTGTTAATAATAATACAAACACATCAATACGAAAACCAACAAAAATTCAATCTCAGGTATATACAAACAGTAGACTATTTAATATCAAAAAGAAATAATATTCTATTTCAGTCATCATTTACTACAAAAAAACAATCATCAATAAATAGTAGTCAACTAAATGAATCTCAAAATAGAACAAGTAAAATAAATTCTAATTTTCATATATATTTCTTGATGAATAATTTATACAAGAAAAAAAAGAAAAAGGAAAAGTCTAATGAGATTTTAAATATAGAAAAACTAAATGAATTTATGTTGATTTTATTTAATTAGATCCTCAATCTTCCGTTGGTAGAAATCGTGTCAAATCAATAGTGAATCAAATCAATGTAAATGCATCATCTCATTCAATTGTTCCTTCATCAAAAACTACCAAACGAACTCACTATTCTGTTTCTATTCAACCAACAACATCGACTAATAAAAATATAATTCATAGAAAATAATCAACAAAGTATTTTTTTCTTTATACATTCAACTTTTGAAACAAATGAATTTATTATACAAAGAGGAAAAAAATAATAATAATAAAAAGCAATTTTTTATTTATTCAATACCAATAGGTACAGATAAACGTAGATTAGAAGTGGTTGTACCTTTCATTTGAGCTGTTATACGTAATTCATATATAATAGCCATACATGGAACATTATCTGGTTGACCATTTTCATTTGGAATATATGTTGGTGGTAAATTTGATGGTAAATTTAATTCACATGTTTGATTTATTTGATTTTCTTGTGTATTTTCATTTATTTCATTAAGTTGATTTGTAAAAATTTCATTTTCAAATTTTATTTCATTTAATGAAACAATTTGCATTAATTGTGCTACTACTAATTGAATTTGTTTTTGTTTTGGATTTGTTATTAAAATTGATAATAAAACAATAGAACCATCTCGTCCAGAATAATATGATTTTTGTAAACTACAAATCATGTTTATATCATTACAACCTAAAACAGAAATAATTGTGAATCTAATTCCAATGAAATTTTCATGAAAAAAAGAAAACAAAAGATAAGACATTAAAATAATTTGAATGATCTGTCATGCGAAATTTTTACCGACGTGGCGAGGAGGGTAGTCTAGCTCACTTCAACACCTTCCACATCGGCACTCATGTTTGTCTCATTAGATATTGAATGATTTCATACTATTATTGATTCTTTTCTCTTGAAATTAGAAATTGTGAGTGTTGCAAAAACAAATGCATCATCTATATCTATTTTATTATATCATTTGCTTTTTATGAAACACGATCTGAAAGAAGTGTTGAAATATGACGAGAGAAATTCTCACATCGATCGTAACACATCTGTTAACAACGTCGTCTTTTCTTCATCACGGACCTTGACAGACGTCTCTCTTTTATTACAGACTATGACAAACAGTATAGTGTTGCTACTTTCTTCTTATGAATGCTTACAAGCATTTACACTAGGTCGAAGTCTACAGTAGGATTAGTATAAAATACATCTGAATTTAATATACATGTCATTTTGTTCTTCTTTTACATTGACCGTAATATAAAACTGATTATCATTGTTTATCATGAACATTCATTAATAATAAGTACTAATCCACAAACTGAAATCTACGTTGATAAATTTCCTATTTTATAATGTCACCGGTCCTGCTGTAGATCATATTTATATCCTACAAGGATTATATTAATATTTTTCTTTTTTGCTTAGATTCAATTACATTCAATTGAAACATTATCTATAGAGGATAAATATGAGTATCATATTAGAGATTTTCTTACCTGTTACTTTACAAGGTAATGGAATAGTAATAAGAGGTGCCGGTGGTGCTAATATGATTGTTTTTCGAATATCTGGTAATAATCTTTCATCATGATAAATATCAAGATAATAAACAATAGAAAATTCTGTAAATTCACATGATGGTGGTAAATTACTACCAAGTGGAATACGAAATGAAAAATTAGTTTGTCGATTTTTAATTATTCTTGCAATACCATTTTCATGTGATGTAACAAGTGGAAATGAATATGTAAAAAAGATCTTATTATTTTTTAATTGTGAAGATCTTTTTGTTGAATTTAATGAAATTTTTTTATTTTCAATTAATTGACCAATTAAATCAATACGAATTTTTTTTTCAATACGTAATTTTGTACGACTATTTATATGAAAATTACCTTGTATTGTTGAAAGACCACGATAAAAATTATTTGTTGATGAAAATGTTAATGAATATTTATTATTTGTTAATGAAGATTTTGTTGAATTCAGACCCATCTTCAATAGAAGCAAAAAAAAACAGGAATGAAAATTATCATTCTTTAAATAAAAAGAAGATGAAGAAAACAAAAAAAAAGAATAAGCATTGCATGTCACGCTTAGATACTTACTCAAATAATAATGACAAAATGTCCTATTAACGATACTTATGTTAGACATGTAAATATTTGTCAGATTAGTATTAATTAATTCTACCACCAGATTCTTTTTTTTTTCTAATTCGTTGAAATGAAATTTAATAATAATAATCTATTTTGTTGTGTATGATAAATTAATACTTATCTTCGCATTTAATTTTCTCTATTGTACGCTTGAAGAAATTTACGCAAAATAGAGTCAATATCTTTTTTTTTTTTTCTTTCATTCTGTGAGTCAATTTTATGGAAATATTCTTTTTATATATCTAAACATAACAGTTTTATGTTAAAAAAAAAGAAATCATTTTTCATCATCATATTCATGGTTTTTTTTTTTAACATCAATAATCATTGTACTTCAAGAAAATTCCACTACATATATGATTTATAAACTGTCAGCTACATAAAGCTTTTAGTATTTAATCATATTGATTGCTTTTTTTTTATTGATGGCATTTTTATTATGAAAATAAATCATAGAAGAAAAGAAAAACAATTATATTTTCTTTAAAAAGAAAAACACTTAAGAATAAAGTAATGAATAGACGCATATTCATCAACTAAGGACATGATTCAAAGAGTCCATTGCATTATTTTCACAATTCTACAAACGAGAAAAACAAATTTAATTAACACAAGTATTTACAATGACATCTTGATATAAAGTAGAATATTTCTTTTCTTTGTAAATAATAAAAGCATATCTATAAGAAACTCTTTTCATATTGATTACATATAAGAGTCACGATAACATATTTAATGAAGTATTTTTCAAAATAGTCCTTGATAATCTTTTCATCTAATATTATTGATATTTTACCTAAAAATCTATATTACATACTTGTTAATTTTCAACTCTGACTTTTCTAATTATATATGTAATTATCTTGAAGAATAAAATAAGTAACTACTTGAAAAACTTTTTAATATATTGACTATCTAATATAATGAACATAAAATATGTTGACTCTATGACAGAAAAGAAACACAAATTATTTCAGTAACTAATATAGATGAAAAGAATTTTTTACATTATGCGACAAAATATACACTAATGGTAAATTTTAGAAATTCTTAAGCATCACTTCCGTGTATACTACGATACTCTTATCAACAATGAATAAGTGTGTGAATAATATATTAAAACAACATTTGTCACTTGACTATTTTTGTATTATAAAAAGGATAAATATAGAAATACTCTTCTGTTTTCAAAATGAGTCATTTGATGACGCATGATAAATGCGTGATGTTCCTGATTTTATTAATTTCCTTTTTTGAACTATATTTATATTTTAGATGTTATAAAAAAATTAGAGTTTACAATTATCAAAAAGAGTACATAGTAACCTAAAATCCTATATGATGTTTAGTTTATTGAATAGGCAAGAAAATGAAAATTAAGAATGCAAAATAAGACTTGGAAACATGAAATCAACATTGAAAATTGTAGATTAACTGAACAGTTTCTAGAACAATTACTGGTAACAGAAATATTGAACACATCTGCATATTAATGGTATCGATACAACAAGTAAACATATTACCTTGTATCTGGAATTGTTTGTTCGATTCTATGAAATCTTCCTCTCACTTATATTCTATATCTGTATATTTATTTCTGTCTTCACAGTAATGTAACAAGTATATATAGGGCAATACGAGAAGAGAGAAATTCATATGATGAAAAATCTCATAAATCATGAAGACAAAAAAAAAAAGAAGAAAATCTATACTCTGGAAAATACTATAGATGGTGAGTAAGGAAGGAAGTTTCAGAAACCAAGTTGAAAGAGAAAGATTAGAAGGAAAGAAAAACTTCATGACGTATCGGCAACATTAAGAGAAAAAAAAAGAATTAGAACATCAGTATATACGTATAATCATTGAAATAACAGGAAAACATGCTTATGATTGTATCTAAAGAACATGCAAACCATAACAAATTCAATGATTATCGGTAGAATGCTTTGAAAATTCGGACTTTCCTCTCTATAAGGATACCTTTGAATACATAAAAATATTATCGTCTGTTTTTTTTTGTCATTTGACTACTATAATAAAAGCAACGAAGAAGACATGAAAAATATTCTTAATGGTATATGTACATGAAACAGTATTCATTTTTTTGAAAACATCTTTTTAATCAATAAAAGCATTCGATAAATACTTTTTTTCAACGTCTAGTATGACAAGATTTACGAAACTCATTTAATCTCTTAGCATCTCATATCTGTCAAACTATTGAGAAATTTTTGAAACGCACAGAAATCATTAGTATACATTTCGAGAAGTATTTTGCCACTAAACAGAAAACACTTGGAAGGAAAATTTTATTTTTCTAAACTTCTTGATATTGTATATGCTTTTTACAGATAGTACAATGTAACAAAGAAATTATCCTTCTTTTAAGTAACATCGAGTCTATGAAGTTTTATACATATAACATAGATTTAGTTATGATTCCCATGGTTCAAGTGTTGTTCAATGATGTGATTTTCAATATCGAAATCAGTGGAAAATCAGGAGTACAGGATTAATTTGACACACCAAATATAATTACTCAGCAAATATACCTAAAATAGTAGTTTTTATTTGTAATCTTACGGTTTTAAACTAAAAATAATCATAGAAATAAAATTTAATTCTGATATTTGTATACACACTTTTTAAGTATATAACATCATGAATACTCATATAAATGTCGATCGAAAGTTTGAATCAAATAAAGTTCAATTTCGTTTTTTATTCTCATTTGTTGTATTCGTGAACATCATTCTAATTCCTTTTTTCTGTGTTAGTTTCTTTTATCAAATATCTATTATTATTCAACTTACATATACAAGAATTGAAGCTTGTCTCTATCATTTGCCATATAAAGATTACCTACATTAGCTTTTCCAGCTTCAATCGTATAATTTCAAGACATTGTCAGATATTCAACACAATCATTGTAACCGTAAGAAATATTTATAAGATGGTCCGATTTCAGTCATGAACAGTGAGTCTTCTTATCATTTTGAATTACTTTTTAGGTGATAATCTGTCATTTCAGAATAAGGAATACTTCTCACTGAAAATTAAACGGCCTGTTTAAAGCTGTTTCTATTGAGAAACGATGTCTAGTATTACGAGCATACTTTTAGCGTAAGTTGTTTTATTGACACCAATTTCTTGTCGCATTCAGCTTTATTTATCTACTCTCATTAACCTCTATATCACATACAACGTATACTTTCTATTATCATGAAACGTTTCAAATCATAAGTTGAATTAATACCCATTCAGAAAAAACGAGGCGGGTGGGTATTTTTTTGAATAACTTTTGATAGGAACAAGATAGAGAGCTGTGATTTTCACCGTTGGAAAGAGAAGATGAAAGCGCATCGAACTGTATTTTATAAGATAATTTGGCATAGTTTTTTTCAACGACTTTAAGCGATGTTTTTGGAAACGAACATATTCCGTAAGGCGACTAAAGTGATTTTTCAATAATTTCGTATGCATTTGGGTCGTTAACAGAATATCCACAGATTATACGCAAGGCTGAGACTTTTAGCTCTATTCATTCAGAAGTTATAAGTATCGTAGTAGAAAGTCTTAATCGATTCCCATGTAAAAATTTTTGATTAAAAATTTGATTAAAAATCGATTAAAATGGCATGATTTTAATAGGATTTTTTAGGCTTGAAGACGGATTTTATTTGTTTTTAATCTTTTTTAATCTATTTTAATCGATTAATCAGCTTGAATCAGTTAAAACTAATTATCAAAATCGATTTTAATAGATTTAGGTTTATTAATCGATTAAAATAGATTAAAAAAAGATTAAAATCAAATAAAATCCGTCTTTAAGCCTAAAAAATCCGATTAAAATCTGATTAAAATCGTGCCATTTTAATCGATTTTTAATCAAAAATTTTTACGTGGGTTTTTCTATTAATTTCTATGAAAAAATGCCTTTTTTTTACGTTTTTACCATCAAATAGGAACTTAATTTTTCGGCATTTTTTTCTAGAAAATTGATTAAGAAAACTTTAAAAACCATCTGAAAACAACCATATTATACGATTCAATGCGTCTTTATCTCCTCTTTCCAACGGTGAAAATTGCAGCCCTCCATCTTATTTCTATCAAAAGTTATTCGAACAATACCCACCCGCTGTTTTTTCTCTGAATGGGCATTAGTACATTAAATTAACATATGAACAACGAGGATACACAAATATAATAATTGAATTTAGGAAAAAGCAATCATAATTTCTTTTTGGAAGAAAACTAATTTTTTGAATAAAAATACATGAAGTACAAGAACAATACTTTTTTTTGAATTAGAATATTATCTCAGTGGTTTTGTAATATTTTTAGATTTCGACGAGTTGTCATTTTAGTATGAAGTGTAGCGAGAATTAGAAATTGAATAAATTTCTCATCAAGTAGCTGGAATATAATAATATAGATCTTCACATTTACGGTACTTTCATATGAAACAAACTATTGAATGCAGAATATGCACTTGTTCCTGATAACTTGATTTTAGGTGGTCATCTTAGCTATTGTATAGCAACAAACAAAAAAAAAACAATTAAAAGAAAACAAAGAATAAATAGAGTATATCAATCTCAACCACAATTTCTAGAGATACATTCAAATGTGGTCCACTTAATAATAATAAATAGTATCATCTGAGTTATCAAATATATATTGTTATAGTGACTATTTAACAAGAGTATCAAGACACTTTTTTCACTAGGTGTAAATGTAGTATGGAAACATTCAAAAAAAAAATGGTGCTCTAAACAATAATACTAATGGTTATCGTTGATCAATGTATTTTTCTGTTTTAAGATGCATTTTCAA